TATACATATATTTGTTTAAAAAATAATATTAAAATATAAATTAAATAAAAATGAAGTTTTTTTATGATAAATTTTAAATTATTAATCCCGACGAATCCACCTTCAAAGCACGAGGAAACCGGTGACCTCATCCTCATTCCCTTCTTCCCCCACCCCCTTAATAATGAACACTATATATATTGCTCAAAAATCCCCATACCCTCCATTGCCTCTGTTCTCACTCACTCTCCCAAAACTCCATGGCCTTCTCACCTCTCTCCACCATCGACCTCATCCGCCACCACCTCCTCGGCGAACACCCCGCCTCCTTCCTCGATGACCTTCTCTCCAGCCTTCCAACTCCCCCTTCAGCACCCGCTCCCCCTCTCTCCGACCTCACCATCTCTGACTACCTCGACCCGATCCAAACCATAACCCTACCTCCCACTTCCACCAAATATAGGACTGAAGGATTCAAATTCACCGATCCGCCAAACTCAATCATTCGATTCGCCGTTAATTCACCCTCCGATTCCAATTTCCTTAACATTGTCCCGACATTGGAAGGGTTCGTCGGATTCGGCGGAGATCAACGACAGCCGGCAGTAGAGCTATTTGGCTGCCGGAAGTACCGTGGTGTACGGAAGAGGACTTGGGGGAAGTTCGCGGCGGAGATTAGGGATCCCAAACGACGAGGATCTAGAGTTTGGCTTGGCACGTTTGATTCTGCCTTAGATGCCGCACGGGCTTATGATCGCGCCGCTTTTGAGATGAGGGGCAGTAAAGCGATTCTCAATTTTCCCAACGAGGTTGTGATCTCCGGTGATTCAATTCAGAAACCAGCGGCGGCAAAGGGGAAGAGGGAGAGGGAGGAGGGGGAGGTTGAAGGGGGGAAGAGGGTGAAGAGGGAAAGTTTGGAGAGATGTCGGGGAAATATTCCGTTCGAAGGACCGTTGTCTCCGTCAAGTTTGGCGGCAGTATGGGAAGGCTCAGACGGGAAGGATGTTTATAACTTGCCGCCGTTATCTCCCCATCCGGCGATGGGGTTCCCGCAATTAACGGTGATTTAAATACCAACGGTCGTATTCGTGTGTAAATTATTTGTTTGTGTATGAAACATGGATGTTTGTTGTTTTGCTCTTGGATTTTTCAATTTCATTATTTGGGAATAAAAAATGTGGCATTTACGTACATTTACAAACCAATACTTTATGTATTTATATTTTAATAAGTAGAAAAAACATTTCTTAGGGTCAGTTTGGGGCAGCTTATTTGGTGCGGTTGAGTTTTGAAAACACACCTAAACACCTAATATGTTTGGGTAAACTATGTTTGGGTAAACTGCGTTTTGGCAGCTTATGCGTTTTCAAAACGCAGAAAACAGCTTTTTCACACCGCAACTATCTAGGTGTGCTGGAAGCTTATTGGCAATGGTCTTGATTTTTCAAAAAATAAAAATTTATAATAGTCATTGCACTTAACTTATCAGTAGATTATTCAATAAGCTACAGCTGCCCCAAACGGACCCTAATATGAGATATATGAATTGTAAGAATAGGAAGGTTGCCACCGCGAAATAAATTGATTATCTTATAGATATTCTTATCTCATATAAGTAATTTATAATTTAGATTATCTGCTAAGCTAATAATTTAAATGGACGAATAATAAATCTTTACATGCATATCACTATGTATATTAATATCTGTGTTTGTCTGCGTTTTAAAAGTTTAGCTTGAAGTTCTTATCTGTAAAATATAATAAATTATTTTTATCAATAAATAAAATTATGAACATGCTGATCAAATTTTGATTATGATGGATTTCAAAATAAAAATGATCCTTCCATAAATTTAATATATGAAGATTAAACTAAAATTTATATTAAATTCATTTTGAAAAAAAAGATAATGTTTTTGTTAATCATTCGATGAATAATGATTGTGATAAATATATGACGGCGTTTGGTCAGCGGTACTCAATGGAGGTCCGCAGTGATCCGCAGTGGTTGACAGAGGTTGGCAGTGGTCGCCGATCGATGGTGGTCGACAGCGATCGACGATGACAGGGATGATATTGGACTTGAGCTCATTCTCAAAGCCTCAAGTTCTCTCTCAAGCATCTCCCCTCATGTGAGGGGTGCGGCTCTATTTATAATGTTATGAGTGCAATTAATGCAGGAATATGAACCATTTTAATTGGCGGTCCGGAGAGCTTCCTCGATTGTATGATATTTGATAGACATTTGGGTGTCTTAACAATGTCAGAATTGAGCAATCTTAGGCTTGTTAGATTCGTTTTGTCGATACACTCAATTTGACTATAAACTTGCTGAATTCGACATTCGTTTGACCTTTCAAATGTATCCGAAAATCTTCCAAGAATGGTTTAATCACTTGATCTGTGTTTGATTTGACTCGGATTGGACCAACTTTGATCATTAGGTCTGTCTCATCAAGTTGGTCAGTTTGACTAAAAATTTATTGAAATCTAAGCTCTGGATACTTTTTATCAAGATCTGAATTTTTCTTGCTCAAAATATTACTTTGAGATTCTTGTCGGACGATGAAAATTTTTTTTTGGCGTATCAATATATATATATATATATATATGCACGCCAAAATACGAAGTAATCGTCGCTATTCAGGCTTAATGAATCCCCAATAATCATCTTTAATGTTATAAATACATTGGAATTAAACTAATAAACTATGTGATCAAAATTATTTAGATAAAAGAAATTTACGCAATGATCCAAGCTCGAACCATCCAATCAGAAACAAGACAAATATATATATGATCCAACCACTCTGGAAAAGTCAATCCGAAGGAAGATACAGTCCCCCAACATCTCCAATCATCTAAGAGATGTCCAAAGGTCCCCCACCAGTCATCAAGGATCAACAACCATACTAGATTAGTTGATCGATTCATGTTGACTAGGCTTAGCGGACTGAGCTGACCTCGTTGACCAAGCTCAACCGACCGAGATGATCCTGCTAACCTGAAGTCAATTAAGCTTAGATAGTCAAGCTAGAGAACAGTTGAATGACAAGCTCATACATCTAAAATAACAACAATATCCAGGTACAAACTCATTAAAGAATGAGTAAAAATGTAACATTATTATTTTGTACTCTCTCCTCTATAAATAGTGAGATCATTTTATGAATAAAAGATGATGTATTATTGTTCATTATTGTTTGCTCCTTTCTCTCCCTCCCTCTCTGCTTATACTCCACTCATTTGGAGTGATTCACAGACAAATCAGGACTCAACATCCTAAAATGTGTGGTTAACATGGATCAAGCCACAAACAAGAAGAATACTAGTTCACAGAGAAGAAACCCACAACAGAGACATCACTAATCTTGAATGTACTAGGAGTTTGTAACTCAGTAGATCTAAAAGTTGAATGATCCAATTTTGGATGCATGCTACCCCGAGAAAGAGATCTACACCTCAGAGAGGAAGATTTGGTTCCCAACAACAGTAGAGGCCCCTAGCTTCAGAAAGAGAAGGTGACTCCCAATATTTCGATAGTGTTAGGTCAGCATCAATTCAACGACATCAATTCGAGTGTATTATGGGGTTGCTGAGAAAATGCATTCTCTCAACAAACATATGAGGTTAAGCCCCCAAAGAGATTTAAGATCCTGACACATGAATCCTAAAAAAGGAGGACCAATTCGACCAACTGCATAGCCCTATTTATGTCAACTGTGTGTTTATTGAGGATCACTGACATGTTGAAATCCTATCTTTTCTTTACCATGTAAAGAGATTCAACCCTCAAGTTGTTCAAAGGACAACCACCAAAATTAATTGAATTGTTCATTGATTTCAAGTGATTGTTTGTGGCACAATTTGTCAGTGTCCAGAAGCTACAAAAGACCTACCTATTCGTTAAGGACAGAATAAAAGCCTCAACTCGTTCATTACACGCTTTTAGAAGAAAATATTGGAAGTGCAGAACCTAGAACCCACAGTCACTTAAGCCGCCTTATCTTAAGGGTTGATGGAAGGACCCTTTTGGTATATGTTAGGTGTACACTGATCGAAGAAATTAACTAAGTTGTTGGAGATGGCTAACTACCAGATATTGTTCAAGGAATATAATTCAAATTTTATTTCCTTCAGAGTAGAATCATCCACTCATCGCCCACAGAGAAGGTCCCCCCAAGGCAAAGGTTGAAGACCGAAACATGATTCGTGTCCTTCAGCCACCCTCCCTACTAAAAATTGGGCGCTCGATACCTCTGGTAAAGTATGACTCATAGTTGGAAGTCAATCAGGTGAATGAAAAATTTTAGGTAAGAGATGAGATGATGAACAAATACCTCGAGAAAGCTAAAATAGAGATAAGGAAGTTTGATGGCTTTAAGCCTGAGCAAACAATGGGTAACATACCTCCCATCCAGCTAAGTGCATCCACTTTGGAGAAGGTACACCCGGAAGGGTCGTATGAAGGATCATTGAATAAGCTAAAAAGATAGAACTGTGTGTCAAAGGCCAAAGAGTTGGGTGGACCCATACATTCAATTCCTTAAGATCAAGAAGATCTCAGAAAAAGTAACAGATTCAAAGCGCTTTAAAATCAAGGCAGCTTAATAACTTATAATTGAAGGAACACTTTTCTTGAGATAGGTTACTTCGTTGTATCTAAGGTGCATGAAAGACGATGAGACAAAGGTTGCCCTTTAAGTGGTAAATCTAAGAGAATGTAGGAACCCCTCTAGAGGAAAGAGTTTGACACACTGAGTGCAGAAGTAGAGATATTTTTGGTTGACGCTTCAATAGGATATTGAGTGATTCTCAAGGAGATATGGATAGTGCTAGAAATACACACTGCTACAACATTATTAGGCTCACAAGCTACAGCTCGTTGTCATTTCATGGTCTGTTGATGTCCGGAGACTTGATATTCACCGTAAGACCATCAAAACTTTATGGTTGTTGACATAAATTACTTCTCAAAGTGTATTAAGGACAAAGAGATTCTTGGATCACCACAAAAGTCATTTGAAACTTCAATTAGACTGATCTGATCTCTTGGTATGAGCTACCCCTCATAATCATCATTGTTAACAGAATACAATTTACCGAATAACAAGTAAAGGATTTTTGCCAAAGCTAAAGGATCAGTCTAAATTTTGTGTTTGTCCATCATTCTTAGATAACCAACAAAATTATTCTAAACCTACTAATAAAAATATTGTAAGGGGCTAAGGGAAATTGGGTCAATATCCCACCTTTTCTTCTTTGGGCGGTCCGAACGACAGCTTCTATGGTGATCGAGCAAACATCCTTCATGTTGTCACATTGGATGGAGGTGGGTTTTTCAGTCAAATATAATCACCACAGTTAAATAGAGGTGGTAGCCTTAGCATTTGATGAAGCAGATTTAGTTGAGTGGCAGAAAGCAAGCAACGAAGGAGTGCTGCTTCCACTCAATCTTACCAATGAGAATGAGCCTTCTTAGCTTTCTGTCAAAATATATCATGGGTGACACCCATTAGATCCCTTGGATCTTTAGAATGAGGCCGGTGTGGCGACCTCGTCAAAATCATACATACCTGAAGACTCTACCTTGGGGCACTTAGATGCTCGATAGAACACATTTTGTTAGATTTGCTTGTATGTTTATTTTATGCATACGTAATAGTATAGTAGGTCGGGCTTCTACAGTGATCCATGCCTAAATATGCAGACAAAAAAGTTTAATAAGGAGGAGCACATAATGATTTTGATACTCATCCTTTCTTGTAGGCGATGCTTAGCTTCTCGCACCAGGCATGACTCATATGTGTTTGCATGTTAAACAATGCTAACCATTTTTCACAGCTTGAGTATTTTATGTTATCATGTAATTGATAAAGTTTTAGCTCTGGGTCTATATCGGAACTAAGGTACAGGTACGAGCTTCAAGGCGTACTACGCATCGAGTTATGTGACAAGGGACCAGGAGCAACAAACTTGTGTCTCGTACCTTAAGTTTAAATTTACACTCTTGCATAGAATTAGGACCATGTAGTTTAAGCAGTGTCTGGCCGCTTTTACTATTTTTGTTGGGATATGTTGCTGACCCAGTGGAACCGATTTTTTTATATATTCTGATGTGTTTTTACTTTCTATTGCATGTTTGCATGATTGGATTCTTTTCCCCATTTATTTCTGGTTTATCTAGGTTGCATTGTTAAATATAATATAGGCTCTTTATGACCTAAAAATGTTAAATTGTTCAAAATTCCTAATTAAAAAGTATTAAGGTAATCAAAGTTTTAGGATTAAAAATGTTAGAATATTTGAAAACTTTTTCTTTTTTTCTCCTACATGGACTTCGGGTAAATTTTTTAAAACGGCTACATGCATGGCAATACACCCATCATGTCTAATAAAGCCTCCACAAAAATTCGATTGCTCTAAATAACTACTTTATTTGCATATACCTAAGGAGAAGCCCCCGTACTTCTTCAATCCAACTGGCCTAACATATTCTTTTTACTTAGGCGTTTGTCTAATGCACCCAAAATGTTAGAGGCATCCACAACCCAGACGAGGTATAAGTCCCTTGTGCGAAGCGTTTCCAGCTTTGTAGCTGAACTTCCTTTTCTCCTCTTTCCAACGGCATCCTCGCAACTTCAGTGGGTATAAGTCTCACCTCTTAGAGTTTCATCTGATGGTCATAAGATAAAGTTTTCTTCTTTGACCATGGGGTTACCAAAGTCCCCGTGGAGGGCTCAATTCATTGATTGTTGATCGGGGATCTCTAGACGTTTTGTGGCGACTAAGTTCACGCTCGAGTAGACATAGGAACCTGACCTGACTACCTCTACCTATTTAGGAATCGCTCCTCCCTTTCTTTGACTACCCCTGTTGAGCTTTGTCGCTTCGTTGACTTTTCATCGATGTCATTCGATAAGCCTCACTTAGCTTATAGGTCAGTAACCGTTTGAGACAACGATTTTCCATCTACTCTTATGACCTAGTCCAGCCTCGAAGCGGTGGGATGTTTCCTACCAATGACCTGGTTATTTCATGGGCCTCGATAGCCTATGAGTCGCTACTCATTTGCGACCGTGAGAGACTTATTCTCCTGGCATAGCAAAAGCTTAGAAAGCAGTCAGGATGTTTCCTATGAAATAAACCATTCTTTGTGAAACCCTTGCTAGTCGTCACTCAACTGCAAGCAAAACTCCTATGATCGAGAGCATTCTTGGGCAACCCCCAAGATGTAATTAATCAAATGGGATACATTCCTTTGGGAGTACTATTGACTCCAAAATAAAATTATAAATTTGGTTCTCTGGTTTGGGTAGCCTATGCATGTTTTCTTTCATGGATATTTGGCTCAAGTTTTTTCTGTTTGATTCTTTTTGGACGAACATTATTCACCTATCACACAAGGTTTGGTGCGCATAGACTCTACATTCTTTCGCGCGTTTGTCTTCTTTGTCGTAGGTTCTTGCATTTCGATTCCTCCTTTCTCTGGATCATTCATATGATCTGGAAGTGAGATTTATTCAGAAAGGGGATTATATAATGATAAGACAAACTGACGACTCATAAAAAAATAAAAAGTGAAAAAGGACCAAAACAGAATCATTGATAAATAAAAAATGAGATCTAGAATTTATATTTTATTCTAATATTCTTATTGTAACGCAGCTTTTAAGAAGTGAGAAAATTTTGTAGCTAAAATATGTATATAGAAATATGTAAGCGTTGATCCTAAGGAGATCTAAGGGTCAAGAAGAAAAGAGTATGAGGAAGGAGGGACCACTGATAGAATACCATGAGGCCCACTTGTTTGATGGAGTGAAGTTGTTCGAGCTAAAGGCAACAAAGGCCAAATAAGAGTAGGACACGAGGAGGATCAAAAGATAACCCAACGATTTGATCTCGAACAATTCAGTCATAATCAAGAGAAAGAATTTGAGCCAACCACTACAGAAAAGCCAATATGAGGGAAGATTTAGTCCCTCGACATCTCCAATCATCTCGGGAACATCTAGAGGTCTCTCTACCCTATAGACAAAAAGATCATTTCATGAAAAAAACATTATTATCACTCATCTCTGTCCACACCCCCTCGAATTATTCAGTCAGAAATAAGAGAAAGAGACATCCGAGTCAACTACTATGGAAAAGCCAATCTGAGGGAAGATTTAATTCCTATGCATCTACAATCATCTCGGGAACATCTAGAGGTCTCTCTACCCTATAAAAGTCGAAGATAATTTCATGAATAAAACATTATTAACCCCCCCCC